TCCTTGTCTTAAAAGGGCAATTCGCACTTAAATTCTTCCCGGCCGGCTTGGCATATAGGCCTATTGACGGAAATCGCCTATGCCTGCATGTGGCGATTTAGGCCTACTACACTGCAAATCGACGGTTATATGCGAGTAGCTGATTTTTAAAATGTAGTGCTGCAAAGATGGATGTTTTAGTATCGTCAAGAAACAGTTTTTGTGTTAATTTTTTGGGCATGACCGCGATTGTATTATCGTAATTTAGCGTAGATTTTGAGATTTTCCAAGAATATTAACGCGCTGAGAAAAACGTGTCTTTATTTTTGCTTCTTAACGGGAAACGTAATAGAGCACCAGTAAACCGTGTGGTACTTATTGACATTCTATTTAATTGGATGACATCAGCGAACATGCATTATCCATCAACGCGGCAGAATAAAAAACTTTATTAAACGGCTGTAAAACTCGACACCCAGAGCGTTTTACGACATAGTTTGTCATTTTAGTACATTTTCTGTATTTATAGTTGTACACGTCGGGGTATTTTCGGCAAAATAACGGGAAAACGACGGTCTTGTGATGCATTTGCGAACGCACTTGCAGCGAGTGGAACTGGGTTAACAACAGAGCTGCGAAAATAAGACGATAAGATCACCAATTCCGTCATTTCCTCGTTTCTTTCCCAGATTGCATCTAAGTCGAACCATTGTTCAATTGTCTAGCTAGACCAGCTTGATTGCTTTATTATGGAACAAAGTCGGGTTTTTATGGGAGCAAATCCGATGGACTATTCGATTTTTTTGCTGTTATGGGGGAATTTGTTGCATAGATTCCCTACATACGTTCCATGTCGCCCTGGTGCCTGCCCAGCTAATTACAGTGTCATGTTTTTATTTATTGCGAAATTACGTATACGGCAGTCTGGCGTAAGTCGCGTTTCTCTTCTTTACATTGCAGCGGTTTTCAACCAAAGTGTTTCTCATAGCGCCTATTGAAGCGATTTAGTGCCTCGGCTACTGGGAGTGAGTAAATGTTGTTTTGCCACCATGGCCGTAAAATGATTCTTTGCTGAATATTTTCAAATGCAAATTTGCCATAAAAATAGGATGTTGACCCACCGAGCCATTGGCCACTGTTCGTTTAATCTCTCAAATATTAATGTTTTCGAAATATAAATTCAGAGGTGAAGCATTTTAGTTCTTGTGCTTTTCCGAGCCAAATGCAGTACTTCAAAGTAGTTTCAAAATCGCTGTCTATGTTGCCATTATCCTGTGGAAAAATACAGCAACTCTCTGAACCATTGAAAAAGCAACTGCATTTTCCCGTAAATGTTTGCAAAATCGAGCTGATTATCAATCAAGCGCTTACAACACATGCAAATATCCAATCAATGCGGCTTCCTGAACGTCGGGCCGTTCTTCGGGCACACAAATAAGCAACGTGTGTTATGTGCTCTGTTACGAAACCGCAGGCACTTTATCTACGATAACAAAATAACAATTTAGCGGAAGTGGCAGGCAATGTGCGTAAAACGGGGCAAAAAGCAGAAAACTGCATTTGCCTACTTTCCATTCCTCAGGCATCTGATCAGGTATAGGATCGTTCACGCTAGATACGGAGATATCTGAATATTTTGACGAGTTTTCCCTTTTTTCGCTCACTGGCTTTCCTTTTCTCGCCCTGAATTTTTTTATATCTTTTGTATATTTTTTGAAAACTAAAAAAACATTCGTCTGTAGGAATTAGGTTCTAACGTTTTTCTAACAAGGAAAATATCAATCAAGCTGATTTGCCATTCAGGAACGCAACTGGCAACGGTTTTCTCACTCGCACCCATAGGGGTCTATGCGGGATCCACTATAGCATGCGCGTTGCTACGTTCCAACTTGCTAGCTTTACCGCTCAAAATAAATCAGTCTTGTGCGAGACTAAGTTTGGAAAATTATTTTGTAATGTATTGTAATTTATATCGACCTGTTTACCGCTTATTTACTGTAAATTCAATCAACTTTTGCCGGCAATTTCCGTTGTAATCAGCCGTTTAGGCTACTAGTAAAATGTTCGGAATAGGAGGCCCCTAAAAACGCAGGCAAATATTCAAATTTTCGATAATTGCTCCCAGCTGGTTTTGGTCAAAGCGATAGAAACCACGAGCTTTCAAGTTCCAGATTGAAATGTTTTCAACAGTTTCTTATTTCGCTTAATTAAAAACCATTTTAATCGTCAAACGCACATCTGTTCGAACACCCTGTAAAGCGATAACTGTTCCTGTCCAATGACCTCACAATCAAATCTTAATCGCGAAACCACATGAGAGGATATTTGAAAATGTGTTTTTTGTCAAACGTGCGCCTGCAGCGCGAAACCCTCGCGCCATCCTGCTCTGGGGCACAAAAAAGCCGCAGACCGAGTGAAAAGAGACACAGCGCTTTATTTATGTTCGCAGCGAGACGACTTCCTTCTGGTAGCTTAATCAGCAGTCGGTACAAGTGCTTCTAATTGTTTATTGCTGGATTGTCTATCGGAATTACTTGAACAGAAGGGCCAGAGCTGAACACTTGGTAATCTGAAAAACAGACTGTTCACTGCTAATGTGTTCAGTAGTGTTGTTCAACTCAAGCCAGATTTACTCTTTTGCTCTATGGAATTTTCAATTTAATTCACAAGCAATTAATCCAGTTTAGTTTAAACACTGTAGTTAGTTGCGTAGATGCGCCAGTCTTATCGCCCACCGTAAATCATTTTTATTGTGTAAAACTGCGGTTTGAAGATCTGATACGCTCCACATAAGATATTCATGTTAGCTGGCAATTATTTAGATTGTGGTTGATTTAAAGTTCATTCTTTACCTTCACATTTGGCCCATTCTCTTGCCTCGATTCGCAAAGAAAACTGGACGTTTATCGAAATCCCCCAAGCCTACCAAGAAAAGTTATGCGGTACCAAGACATACCATTTTTCTCGCGATCAACAGTTCGACCTAATGACCTCGTTTGGCCCATCTGCTCTTGTTCAGCCCCAAATCGGTGCAATCGATCGTCATTGCGATCTGATTGGTTCGATCCGCGGATGGCCTGGGACAAAAAGTCGCCCGACAAGTGCGAAAAAGTCGCTCGGCCTCAAATCTGGCTAATATAAGGGCCGTTGGACGTCCAGATGGTCGATCTCGAACACCCACTTCCTCGTGCAATTGTGACGAGATACCGTAGTGTGACTCGTCGATCGAATCAGCGTTGCCAGAAGTTTGCTTTTTATTGTCAAGCTCTAAATGCATCTGTTTCAAAATTTTGCCAGAGTTTCAACTGTTCAGCACCACCTTTTACAATCGGTTTACTCATGCATCGCCAATGGGTCATGTTAATAAACTCGCCAGGCATTTAAACATATTAAGTACACAGGTATTCAGGCATACCTTGCCGCATTATCTCACCATCAACAACAACAAAAAGGATTTGCATTCAATGCTTGCGACATGGTCCGTCCATATCCTTAGTAGGTTTCTTTAGCTGGTATAACAAGGCCTGCATATGGAACCTAAATGGTTATGCAATAGCAGGTTTTTCGTTATCAATTGCCAGAATTATACACATAGAAACTTTCGAGATTTTAATGCTTCTGCACTAATATAAACTGGTGAGTTTAGGAGAGTTTTGCTATCAAAATGATTATCTCCAAACCGAAGAAAGCTAAAAAGACGCTCTTTTGGCGCTCAATAGAACAAATGCTGTTGCATAATTAAAACGAGTTGCCATTTGTTGCCAGGAGTTTTTGAAGAACCAGCCAATTTTGATAAGAGCGACAGAGCAATACTTTGCGTGCAAAATTCGCATCGCGGCCTTCATTAGGGAATTTTCGCTTTTTTTTTCGTCTACTCGATGTAAATTTTGAAATCTAAATATTTGGTGTTTTAACTAATGCGCAGGACCTTTTCTATTAGCAGCTTTTTATCCGGCAAACGTAGGTTTTTGCCTTCTAAACCGTCGTTAGTGAAAAATATTTAACAGTCAGCCACTAAGAGATCAAACTCAGTGGGGTTTAATGCGGTAAAAAATGTTCGAACTGTTTTTTGCTCTCGAGTGGATTAGTACCAGTAAAAAAACACTCAGATGCTTTTCTGTTGTCAGTCAACCTTCATCTAATCCTATTATGCTATCGAAATCGATAAGAAAATCCGAACGCTTCTCAACAGTTCGTCGGTCTACTTAATACTACTTTAACTTAATCGGTTTTACAAAGTAATTAATTGCGATTTCTATTGATTTGGTGTTTCAGATAATCTGTATAGATTGTAGTCGGTAATTCCTGCCTATTAACAGTTTGTTTTTTCTTGTATTTATTAATTCAATACTCAAATTCTAATTGGTTTTTGCATTTCTCTTTCCACAGTGTTAACGAAAAGGGAATTGAGATCTTTGATTTTGGTTGAGCCCAGTTGCTGCACTAAAACTGGTGCCTTTTCGAGTTTTATTTTAAGGTTTTAATGGAAAAATCTGGGTGGAAAAAGTTGGCATTGCAGTTTTTCTACGTGTTTTCTTCTCAACAATTTGGATTTTCGTTAATTAATTATTTAAACTCATTTTCACTGCGATTACGGTACATGTTATCAAACAGTTATTGGCTGGTTTGGTTATTCAATCACTTTGGGAGGTTTATTTTCAATTGAATTTTGTCGAATTCTTCATTTTTTTGGACATTCCTCAGTACTTATTAAGTGATTACTTATTTTCACCACGATTGCAGCACATTTTCAAAATCATTTGTTGGCGTATAACCGGCGATTTGCCGTGTAGTAGGCCGTAATTTCCACGGGCAGGCATAGGCGGTTTGTGTCAACGCGCCTATATGCGGACTCGGCCGGGAAGTATTTAATTGAACACACTGAAGTGGCGCGCATCTTCAGAAGACGTGAGCCGCTCGCGTTTACAAATTGCCAGGGAGAAAATCTTTGGAAAAAACCCATTAGTTTTGAGCAATATTCTTCTGATGAAACGTTACTTATATGTTTTTTTTATTTACAGAAATAGCCAAAGTCAGAGCCAGTTTATTTCAAATAAATGGCGTGAAGAAGGAGCCATTGATTCTGCCGGAGCCCGATGGGCAAATCACAACCCTCACAGAGAAAGTCTACGTTCCAGTTAAGGAACATCCAGACGTAAGTTCTCAACGCATTTCCAATGTTCGTAAGCAATTAGTTACAAGGTGATGCATCCGAATAGGTGCTGGCAGGATGCATGCAGTAGTCGTTTTAACGACAGTTTCTATTTTGCATGAAAGCATACATCTAGTTGAAAGAATACCCCATAAATAAATCCGTTAAGGTCAGGCTATTTGTTATAAATGAGCGCGTTTTTGCCTGCAACGGCGGATAGTCAACAAAAGCAAGTTTACTGCTGGATTTTATGTCCAACCTTGCCACCTGAGAATGCTCGATTAATTATGTATTCTGATGTACATTGCGTTCAATGGAGAGGAATGTCGAAATTGCCATCAAACCAGCTGGGAAATTAATATATTTAAATCAAATTTGCGCCCTCAAGTTGTTTTGAATTAATTCTTCCAAATCGTCGCTCTAACTGATTAAAAGCAATGAGGAATGTATTGAAAGATAAATAATAGTAGTTTTCGATACAAGGGCGAAAAATGTCGTTTCCGTCAGGAGTTCGAAAAACAAATTTTCGCCCTCGTATCGAACACTATTTTTTATTCGAATGAAAGATTACACGAATAATAAAATGCATCGATTTCAAATTTAAAATTTTGTGGCAATGTCATTTTTTGAAATGTCATGTTTTGAAGTTTGTAATTAAGTTTAAGTACTTTTTCAACTTGAAACACCTGTGGTCTTGGGATGGTGTATGCATGTTGCATACTCTGCATGACATTTGCGCTTCTTAAAAAGATCGTGTTTTACGTGTGGCAACATCGCAAAAGTAGATAAGTAGGCCATTAAAACGATTATGAGACTGAACTTGTAACAAAGGTATAATTTGAAAATTGTAAGTAAACTTGAAAATAGGATCAATAGTTGTTGATAAACCTACGTAATTCCTTAAAAAAGCATTTCGGTTATTTTCAAATAAAAATACTAAAAAATATATAATGACWGTGGCAAGTTCAAAGTGTCACATTTACTTTGTCGCACACTGTGCGGCAAAGTCCGTGAGTAAAAGTAAAACAAATGAACGCTAAAGAAAAGTGCTTCTTTTTGATCATCGCCTCTGTTCGCAAAACGGCACTTTTTGATTCATTCGAATAAAAAATTGTTTTTTTTTCAGTTCAACTTCGTGGGAAGGATCCTGGGGCCTCGAGGCATGACCGCCAAACAATTAGAACAAGAAACGGGCTGTAAAATCATGGTCCGGGGGAAGGGCAGCATGAGGGATAAAAAGAAGGTGTGTACCCACTTAGTTCTCTAGATTTAGGACGTTCAATCGGAATGTAATTCTTTTGTTCGCATCCGCTGCTCAATTTCAGGCCTAATCGATTGTTTTCGAGTCGAATTGCAATTTTGGTTAAAACCGTCGCCCAGCGGCTTCAAGAGTGGAAATCGGACTAATATTTTTCTTAACTGGATCGGTCTAATTAGTATGACATCTTACGCACTAGGCTGATTGAAACCACAGAGAAAACCATCGAAATAGCCCAGACTCAGACGGATATTAGCGTTTGGACTTCCGATTTGTTTATTTTTTCTGGAAAATAGATTCCTGGCTCGGTGCCAATGTTGGGGGAGATGCAACATAACTCTGAAAAGATTCAGGAACGCGAACAGTTGCTGGCTCCTCTTCGATGGATTATCGGACTGAAATGAAAGAATATTCGAATGGGCGACGCTGATCTTCTGGCTAGAAGATGTGGTGATTTATTGTCTCCTACCTGGGTTGGCAGTTGGAAAATATTCCGGCTCCGCACCTATGGATGTAAATTTAGAAACCGGGAAGAGGCTGCAGCCTATTAAATTTTCCACATTGACATCGCGGGGACATTTTTATTGAGGAAATGTTTGTCGCCTTTGTATATACAATCTCGCTATTAAAGTTAAGTTTAGCCGGACTCTCCACGGTATTAATAAGCGGAATTAATGATAGGATGGTCGAAAATTGAGCAGTTGCTGCCATAAAGCGAATTCGAAGACGAAATTAGTGATTAATGTTTTCCCGTAGGAGGATCAGAATAGGGGCAAACCGAACTGGGAGCATCTTTCCGACGAGCTTCACGTTCTTCTCACGGTGGACGACACTGAAAACAGGGCGCAAATCAAACTAGCTCGAGCTGTAGAAGAAGTCAAAAAACTACTAGTGCCTGTAAGTAACATCCAGACATGTTTCCGAAATCAACCAATAGTTTTGGCCTGTTCAAACAAGCGCTATGCAGTAAAATTTACGAGCTCGTTCCTAATTTTAGCAACAATGCGGCCATAAAAGCAGAGTTATTTAAACATTCAATGTTTTACGAGAGTCTACAGGGTGATTCAAAATTGGCGTCATTCATTTTAAGGGGTGATAGAGGCTCCGAAAATGTCGAAAATTTCTAGAAGATATTAACAGTTGAAGATCGAATTTCAACTTTGTTATTAAGCATTATTTTGAAATTGTTCCATGTTTAATTGGTACCATATTGGAATACTTAAGCATTCAAAAAGAAAAATTACGATCTTTGCTGCAAATTACGAAAATTTTAGATATCAAAAAAGTTTCCTTCTACTATTTTTTGATGAAAAGGCACAGCGGCAGTGATCAGTGATGTTTTTTGTCATTAACAGGTAGTTACAGGTGGATAGAGTCCTTTTTTACAAACTTCTTTTTGGGTATTTCGCCTCAAAAATGTTTGTCTTTAAAAAGGACAGAATTTCCTCACGTCTTTTATTACAGATTGATAAATAGTGCTCC